AATTCTCCGGCGATTCTGAGAGGATCGGGAACACAAGTTAGAAAGTCGTCTATAGGAATTAGTAATATTTATTATTTGTACGCAAAGTGTTTCAGCCCTTCCAAGATGAAAATTATGAATAATTCGAAATTGCAAAGTGCTGTGTATAAAATATGCAACGCGTAAAATGGTGTCTATGAAAATGATGAGACGGTGACCTAGAAATAGTTGTAAAAGGTACGTGTAAGTCAAAGGAGCTAACGAGTCAGTAGGTAAAGTCAGCTTTTCTTGTATCTGTGGTCTTGGGTTCGATCCCTAGGGGGATAATAGATTCCCCTACGGTAGTTTTGCCCATTTCGTACGGTTTTTCCTCTAAATTTATCGAATGTCCATCGCGAGAGGTCCTCTGAAGATGGTTTTCTGATCCGAAAGAAAATTTTCCAAAAATCTCTTCACCGAAAAAAAGAGAAACAGAAAGAAAAGCCACGATATCGAAAAAATTCATCCTGGTCGAGTTCTGGACACAGTTTTCTGGATTCCCAAAAATGTCAACTGTCAAACAACATTCAGAGATCATGGAAAAATGGAGAAGCATTGGAGAGAACAGGAGTGAGAAAAAATGAAAAGGAAGAATATGTCGAGGTGACAAGAGAAACAGTTGGCAGAAGAGAAAATTGAGCCCAAAATGAAAAAGAAAATGAAGGTGTTCGAAAACAACCTAAAAGGGGGAAATATATGAATTGAAGCAGAAGATTGTGAAACCTCCAAGAAGAACTTCTCGAATTAATAGGAAAGTACCCATCAGCCTTGACGAGAAGTAAAATAAAGGAAAACTTCTTAGCTATTACCATTTAAAAGCCCGACAATTGGAAATGGTGAAAACAATGTCGCCCCATTTACCGGAAGTGTTTTCCCAAGTTCCCTAGCAGCGATACCATTAAGAAGCTCGTCAGAAGAACGTTAACAAGAGGGGAGGGTAGATCGTTCCGGCCATGGAAAACAAGTGGTTCGCGTCGGAACAGTGGTTTCCGGCCGGATTCCTCAGGAAGCTTAGTCGTCGTAACCCGTCTGAAAAGCAGGAGCGAGACAGAAGTATAAAGGGGCGGGCAGCCAAACCTTCCTAAAGCTCTCAAAACGGTTGTACCATTGCTCGTTAAAGTAATTCAAGGTTGTGCGCGTTGAATCGGGGAATTAAACGACTTCCAACACGCGCACCTCTCTGCTCGAAAAAATTCAAGCATCGAATTATTTCCAATTACTCGACCGCGAATCGCCTCTTCAAAGGTTCATCCATAGAGGGGAATCGACTAAATCGCGTGCGTTTAAAATGCAACGCGCGGAGCTCTTAACGACTTTCCGCTGGCTTAAATTAGACACTCCTTTAACCAACGGCCAACGTCAGAATCGATTCGTTCCGTGCCCTTTTGTGTCGCGATAATAAATTCAACAGGCGAATAATAATCAAGCACGCTTTATTATGACGATTCATTAGTAGAGGAGGCTCCTCGTTACGGATTTATAGCAGCCCTAATTGTCCCGCGACAGGAGAGCCTCTTTTAATCCATCTCTGGCCTTTACGTTCGATCGTTTCGATTCGTCACGAGCGACGACCTTTCGCCATACGACACCGGGCTACTTCCGGCCACTCGTTCCGCGCTGACGAGCTTCTCACCGACACGCACGTCGCTCGTTATCCCGTCACGCGCTCTCTATTCAACGCCACCTCGTTGCTGCTCTTCAAGATCTCGATCACCGATTAACACCTTTAAAAAAATCCGCCGATGGAATTTTTATTTGAACGTCGACAGCTTTTCCTCTTTTCCTTTCAAGAGGAACAGTCCACTCAAGAGGTCGAGTTCGACTGGGCTTTTAATAACGCGATTAAACACCGCGGTCGTTATTCCCGAAATGGTATCGAGAAATGGGAGAACGTAAAATTTCAGCAGAGGCTGTGAAAAATGAACTAACGAGCGAGGGATTCAACGGAATGACAGTCGTTAACTGTGGAAATCTGAACAGCGGGAATTCTCCCATTTTTCCGTCGATTCACTCAACGGGGAGTAATCAGACATTTCTGAAAAAATTACGAGAGATAGCGGATAATGTTGGGAACATTTTTTGTCCAATTAATGTGTGCTCTATCTCGTTCCATTTTCCAGTAATAAAATCGTAAAGACGGGGAAGTTAGGCGCCCGTGAACGAGCAACCCATCAAACACAGATTCGAAAAAATTCACCAGAATCCAGGCACCCTTGAAACACAATCTTCGTGAAATTAATTTCAATATTCTTTTCCAAGTATTCCGCTTTAAATATCTGGATCGAAGAGCAATTTGTCACAGTCACCTAGTTTTCCTGCGCGATAAGAGCTTCGCTCGCAGATTACGCGTCCTTCCGCGGAGACACTCGGCCGAAAGTTTGATTAAAGCCCGCAGAACAGCCGGAGACAACGCTATCATATTGCTCGCCCAGTGCTGCTCTGGTGAAACCGTTAATTTTGCCCCTGTCTACGCTCTAACGTACGTAGAATCGCTGGTGCACGAGGAAATCGGAGACACAGGGTCGAGTTAGGTCTATTCACAGGTTTCATTAACGGCGGAATAGCCGAGGCTGCAGTAATCGTTCGGAAAATGATAGTGGAAGCCCCGTTCATTTGCATCTGTTTTAATCGACAGTCACTGTGCTGCCATAGTTGGTATGGTAATTGAACGGGATTTCCCATTAAAATGTATGACTATGTCGTGTGTGTGTGTGTGTGTGTGTGTGCATGTAGCATACAAGAAAGGTGTGTGATTTAAAGTCAGGTTAGAGGAAGGTAAAAAAGGTGTCGTGAGGAAGAAATCGCGTTGCAGCCGAGTTCCTTCAAAGGAAAACGAACTGTGAGGATGTTTGTCGGGTTGCTCGTGGCACAGGGGCTTTTTCCATTCCGCGGAGAAACTCTCGAATTACGCGACTAGGCGCAACCAGCCAGGCTAATTACACACGAGCCAGCCAGCGCTAGTTCTTTGGTCGCTGGCGCGAAAGGACGAAGGAAAACCGTTCTACCAGCGACCGCGAATCTCATTTCATTAAACTTACTCGCAAAGTAATCCTTCGGCAATCAAAGTTGCGCCCCGATTCATCAGCTCCGGCTGCCATTCGCTTCGCTCGGTGACGTTGAAATTTTCCGCTAATTGCTAGGGCAGGAAATTCTATACAAAGCTTGCCCTGAAACTTCCTTCTTTCCAGACTTTCTCAGAATACTAAACACTTACAATTCGTTTTCAATTCAATATATGTTTTACCTCGGTCAGTTTGCTAGATTTGAGAATTCGAAATTTATGTGTAACTTCGAGAAACTTTCCTGTGGAAAATAGTAAAGATAATTTTACGAGTTTTTCTTCTATTCGTTAAGGAATACTTCGGCTGTAAGAGAATTTTTTTTTTTATTGGTATACTCTTCGTGGTATACCTTTAACGACCGAAGAACTTGACGACTAACAATCCGTCTGAACCGTAGCTGTATCCTTATCAATTCTTTCTCCTGAATGCTCACTTTTCGTTCAATATCCACTAAAAAAATATCACGTTACAGCACAAGAGAGTCTTAATACCGGAAGGCAAGAATAATGCAATTATCTTTAATATTTCCTTCGGAAAAAATTCTCAAACTATGCCAAACTTTAGACCCTCGTTTTTTTAGCATAACAACCTTTGCCCCTCTTTTCTTTCATCCTGTTCCGCCATCTTACGTCCAATATCATGCTTCTTAAACCCGCGACCGTCAATAAACGGTGTTCCATTATTCAGGAAAACGCCGGTCGATATATGTTCCGTGGAGAGAGCCTCGCCAATTATTCAGTCGCGGATTTCCAACTCGAGTCCCGGGATACAGCATGGTAAATCTAGCGTCGAACGATATTCAAACTTTCCCTATTGTCCACGGTCTGTTTCGTGGCCTCCAAGTTCCCTTATGTCTTTCTCGCGATCTCGTTTCGAATACCTCCGTTCAAACGTTAATTGCCACTCGATCGGAAGTTAACCAGAATTCAGAATGGTGGAACTGGTTTGCTCGACGTTTTCACAAGAGCACAAGTTTCCCGGGAACTCTGAATAATCGGCTTCCTTCAACTTGTCACGCGTTTCCGCCTCCACTTTTACAGAACCACCGCTGCAACAGGTCTGCGATGGAATTCTGCGTTCAAAAGGTTCAGAATTTCGCAGAAAATCACTTCTGAGTGAAACCAGAAGGGATCAATATACATAAATGTGGAAACATTTTTGACTGAAATTTTTAGGCTGCCAGATTTCAGATAATAATTTCTGCATGAATTTTTCCGCCGCGTTTCTTTGCTACGTGCACGCAAACGTGCATTCAATCGACGAACAATTTCCTGATTTTTTACGGCCCTGTGAAATTCACGGTTCCAGCTATCGAGATCCATTTATCACGGTTACGGTAGCACGGTGTAAACACCGACTGCGATCGATACACACCGATTATTGTTCACGCTTTCCTGAAAATATAAACGCGGCCCGATATTGTTTCCAACGCGCGTTAATTGTTCCCGACACTTTCATGAACCTCGTACTGCCACTACTGCCTTCCATAAACGTCCCGAGCGAATTCCTCTGTGTCTCGATCTTCCTCGATCGTTCGTTCATTAACTCCGCCCCCCTGTAGCTGCGAGGCTAAATTCGCATAAATTTCACCGGCACCATCTCGAGCATACTGTGCGAAATATTACCTGGCTACATTGGGAAATACACAGTTGAAAAAGGATGTATAATTTCGAGTGAATTAATCAGCTTACGGAGCTGGTTTACGGCTGCCTGTACGGGACCGGTTGCCTGCTTTCAGGCGCTCTTGGGCTGATTCTTCATCTAGTCGTAATTGAAAAGCGAAACCTCCGTCGGTATTTTTCATTCTACATTTTTTGTTCGTCTGTATTTTTCAAATCATCCCACAAAATTTCCTCCGCATACTTCTGTTTTGAATTCTACCGACGACTTCTACTAACGGGAAACAATTTTTTGTTGCAGTACACAGACTGGGAACAGGTGAACAACGGCTACCTCTATCAGAAGATGATCGCGGACGTAGTTGGCGACTACTTCTTCATCTGTCCGTCGATCCACTTCGCCCAACTGTTCGCGGATCGTGGCATGAAGGTCTACTACTACTTTTTCACCCAAGTAGGTAGTGTTTTTTATCGTCACGTGCACGAAACAGGGAAGGGAGTGTGCGTCACGTGAAACGCGTTCAATCGATAGGGGGGCCATTATATTATAGCCTGACATTTCCACGGGACGAGAGTCACGTGGCGGACGATGATAACGTTGCTCGTGATTCTCTCTTTCGCCTGGCTCTTATCTGGCCACCGGTTAGGGAATCCATTATTCATCCTAACCCACAACCGCATCATCGATTTTTTCTTCACGGACAATGTTCCCGAGGAATTATTTAACCATCTAGGACTCGTTACGATTTATCGAATATCGAGTACTCTTGTTTATTCGCTAGATGGGAGAAATATTTTCCGCTGCGAACAAGGAGAAAGGAATAGGTACCGAATGAATTTAATTGCCCGAACTGAGCGGGTTGCTCGGCTTCAGGGGCATCTAATTCAGCCCACTTGGAGAACTTTTTTCATAGAAAAATATAACAGATAATTTTACGAGGTTTCTTTCTGTTTGTTGAGCAACTGTTACGATTTAAGAGAATATCTTTTTATATCTGTAGGCTGGTGAGGAAAGCTCGAGAACGGGCTTGAAATATAACGATAGTTCATTCGCCGTCTCTATTATTTTTCACAAAAATATTCTTCGTTATTGTAGAAACACTCACTGTACCCATCAGAAGTGTTATCATCTCCAATTACATTCCCGAAAAAAATTCTTGAAACCCGGCAACTTTCATAAACGAATGTGAAAGTTCCTTTGTCTCTCTTTTCCAGCAAAAACCATGGAATAAATTGCGTAGTTGGCCGGTTTTTGCAGCTAGTATGGTCGCGTGGCAAAAATTTTTAATTAACCGCGCCGTGTCGCGGGACAATTACGGGAAATATGAAAGAGAGACCTGCCCCTGTTTTTTCCCCCACCGACACGGTGGCTCGCGGTGGCCGACGAAAAAGCGGGCCGAATACGTCGACGAATGATTGACTAATAACGGCTATCCGGCAAATTGCAACTCCACCAACGCGTCGTCCCGGAATTTATTCATTTTCCCCCTTTTTCTCTGTCGTCCATCGATCCATAGGTTCGCTCTGCTCGTTTATTTTTCCTCGCAACGAATGCTGCCCTGCAAAAAGCACCGCCATTAGAGTCGATAGCTTTTAAGGTACGACGCGACGTCGCGCTGGAACAAAGGTCGCGCCGATATTGAGAAGAGAGGTTCGTAGGATTTTCTGCTTTCATCGGCACGTTTAAAACGCCGCCAGTGGTGTTAATCAATAATTTAGCCACTCGTGGATGGAAGCTACGGAGAAATTGCGGATCCCTCCGAGTTATTAGATTCTTCAGGTGTAGTTTGGTGGTTCCAGAAGGTGGAACAGCGTAATTCCCCGGTTTCACGTGGTTAAGCCTTTTTGCGGTGCTCGTGCGGTCCCCTGGTTCAAGTTTATCACGAAATTTCTCGATATATATTCCCGCGGCGAAGTTATAAAGGCTGGTATATACGGGCCACTCGTGAGGGCTCTTGAACTTTCATCGCCTCTTTAGCTCGAGGGGACATTAGAGTTCCACAATTTATGGAACGCGGTGCGGGAAAGGTGTTAGAAGGGCTTGTGAGAAATATCGAATTTGGCGAACGCGAAGATTTCAGGCAGAATGGATGAAAAAGTAAATTTAACCTCGGCCTAACTTAAGCTTACCTTAGAGCTAAGCAAGACACGAAAGGTCCCATTTTAAACGGTCCCATATGTTACCTAACTTGAATCCACTCTAAACCGTTCGCAAACTCAAAGAAAACAAATTTTCAAGTGGACTTAAGCATACCAAACTCTAGTATGACCTAGACTTAGCTCAGGGTTGAGGTATACCTTACTCAGAGCTGATGAAAAATAATTTAAACCGATCCTTCATCTTGATCCAATTTAGATCTAACTTAGATCTACCGTTGGACCTGTAAAAAAATCTTTTTAAACGACGTATACAAATTCAATCCCAGCATAATTCGAATCTAACGCAGACTAGACGAAACTTGCTGAAAAAATGTAATTTCCTCCGCTTATTTACTTCTAGGACTTCAATGAATTCTATATTGCAGGCAAACGAAACTGAAACTCGGTTACCCCGTAAAAAAGGCCTGCCTGCTTCCCGAGTGTGTTTCACTTTCACGGAAGCGCTCGATCTCGAGCGGTTTCTCGCCGCGGCACCGACTAACTGGGACGTGAAATGCGCGTAAGCGGAATACCGAGGCCCGAGTAATTAGCGGAGGAGGTAATTTATCAGGGAACGCTGGTGGAAGCAAAGGAGGATGTCATTACTCATGCGCGCCCACCGTAATCTTAATAACGGTTTCGCCAGCCGGTTAAGGCAACCCTTTAAACTCTCGTTCGTTTTCCTCTCCGCCCATTCCCGACACCTTGTCTTCCTTTCACGCTGCCATCCTCCTTTCTTCTTCCTCTTTCTTTGGAAGATCAGCCCGTTGGCCGATCTTCTCCGCTTGGAATCTCGCTCGAAGAACTCGAAGGGAGTGAGAGCAGAGGGGCCAGTTTATTCGTCGTGGTGCAATAAAATGAGAAACTTGCTCCTCCGTTTCTCGTTGATTCCCGTGTAGGGCGAGTAAGGAAAAAAGTTAAAGGGGACCCGAAGGTGAATGGGAGGTAGGAGGATGTCGTAAGTTTTCCTGCGGGGTGAAACAAGTTCAAAGCCGACAAGTGGGTCAGAAACGGGTTAACTTTGCGACGAACGGAAAAGTAAGGGATAAGAGGAAAATGTACGTCGTCGTTCGGGACACGTGTACATCTGTACGGAGACAGTCGAGAGACACACTTCCTCCATCAGCGTACGCTGATTTCCTCCGCTGCCGCTCGTACAGTCGCGTGACGAAAATTCCCAACTCCCCTCTCCTCCAAGTGTACAGCATTCGGTGAAAATAACCCGACGCCGTATTCTTCATTCACTGAAACAATCTAAAAGAAACTTTCTCTCGTAAAAATAAGTATATTCGGAGTGCTCTCTTTTTTCCACCGTTCATTCGAACACCAATTAAAATCTTATTAACGTTTCGATCCTTTATCCAGCGGTCCGCTACCCCCTTTTCTTTTTTGTCTTTTTTGCAGCTGTGGAAAAATAATTGAGGCCTCGAATAAATCAGCCGATTCGTTAAGCGTTGAATCCCGCGGCCGATTAGCCGAAGAAATTAATGGAAACGAGGTCTGAACCCCCTGAAAGCATGCTTTCAGCCCGGTTTACCCCTTTCGATGCAACCAGCTGCCCTTTCACGCGGCCAGGGAACTTCATTATCGGCCGAGCCGGATCGTTCCGCGATTTTTCGCGGACTCATTCACCGGCCACGATGGAAACTCGGCTGAAAAGGATGAATCCACTTTCTGTCCAGAGGTGCAACGGCTATTGAGATCGTTGCGTGAAAAGAAATTCTGCGGAAGAGACGCTTGAACATTTGCCATTTCTCCTTGATAAAAGGAGCCATTCAAGACGACTGTCCTTGACGGAAAACGGGCTTAATTTCTTAAGAATTACACTCCTACGGGCCTATAAATGTTTTCTCGCGGCGCGGCCAAGGTACGAACGTGAAATCGTTGGCGTCGAGTGAAACAGGTCGGTAATTAATCAGACGTACAGGGGGGAAACCTGGTTTCAAGTAGTGCAAGTCAACGATAAGTGAAACTTGGTCGAAAATCGTAATTCTCTACGTGGGTATCGAGTTCTGGACACTCTTACAAGCCCGTGGTAACCTTACTCAGCGTGAATAATATTTCTCGGTGGTGGAATAACGGCGGAAAAATGTTTCACCAGAATCCAAAGGGGTGCGACGTGATTCTAACTCGAGTTAATTAACATTAACGAAATTCCAGCCGTCCATCGGGCTTCGTGGGGCATTATCGATCGCCATATCATCGCGGCAGCCCCTGGGCCACCCCCCAGGCCGATCTTCACCCACTCTGCCTTTGTAATTTTAAGGATCGTTAAAATTAACGACGTTTACCGAACACGAACGACTGTCGTAATGACAATGCCGCGTTCCCAGCTTCTCCCCCATTCACTGTGAACAGAGGAAATTCATTCCTCCTTTCATCCACTATCTGCCCCACTCCCGGCCAGATGGAAATCCGAGGGAAACAATTTTCCCAGCTGCTTTCAAGAAAATTATTTTTCAACCACTCCCCCCTCTAGATATCTCTCCCTCTCTCTCTCTCTCTTTCTCATCTTCTCTCCCCTAACCTCTGCCTATAATCAATTTTTCCCAAGAGTTTGGTAAGGTGTAAATCGTTGTTACGCGCATTATTCTACAGTGGCGAAAGATACATACGGCGGAGGGTGGAAAAATTGTGGAAGGTAAACGAAACGATGCTTCTCTGTCGACGCCCGTGGGTAGGAAAAATCGAGCTCTCAACTTTAACGTTTCTAACGTATGAAGTTCCCACCAGGAACAGTGTCCTGGAGTTCTTGCCTCGCGAACGATGGAAGGGGGACAGTGATGCAAGTTCCCAAGAAACTTCGCGACACGATCATTCAGAGGAATCTGCTGGATTTCTTTGTCACTCTGGAATCCTGTCGATTGAAAACTTAACCTGTATCTAACCTAGATACTGCCCGGATACCTATCTCCGGTTCCATCAGATCTAACCCAACTTTAACTTCGCTGCCTTGCGATTCTTTTTATCGCTACACACGTTTGTCCTCGATTATTTACACTTTTGATACCGCGTTAAACGAGAAGACGTTGAAATGTTCGACACGCGCATCTTCTCTATTGGCTATCGATATTATCCCGTACTTTCGCTATTTACCGATATCCAACAATGGGAGTTTTTACGGTTTCGCGGACTGCATTGTTCCAATTATTAATCGAGGTTTTCGTGTTTAAGCCGCGTCCAATTGTTTTTGCGTTTCAACGTTTCGCCAACATTCGTAGCATGCAGCTTCATTAGAATTCAAGAGAATTCGTTATCAGTGTGTTCTTTTTTTAACCCCGATGAAGGTAGCTGTAACATTGCGAAATGTTGGAA